GGTGAGTAATGGTGCCTTGTATGCATAGACCATACTTCGCTCAACTCATCATATGATGGATACACGGATATGGATATAGGGATCTGGGTTATTATGAATAATTTTGCCATGAATATTTAATGTACAAGCATGTTTCTGAACACGTGTCATTTCTGTTGGATGTATATGTAAGAGGGGAGCTGCTTAGCATATGGTAATGACATCTAACTGAGGAACAGCCACAGGACTGTTTTACAAAGCAGTTTCCCAACAGCAGTGATGAAGAGTCCAATTTCCCACCTCCTTACTGACACTTATTAAAAAAAAATCTATATCTATACATATTTATATTTTATATGTCTATATCTATATAAAGGTTGTATTGCATAAGACACAATAAGGTACATTGTTAACACCTACAGGGCTGAGGGAAAGATACCTTTCATCATATTTCCATTTCTTATTTACGCTTTTTCTTTTTTTTTTTTCTTTTTGGAGAGGTTTTTTTTTTTTTTTTTTTTTTTTTTGCTATAGGGTGCATGCGCTAACCAGACAGAGAGAGAGACAGAGAGACAGAAAGCGAGAAATCACCCCCCAGGGGGGATGGCCACACCGCAATCCCTTCTCCTCCATTCTCCTCTTGGGATCTTGGGCATGCATGCACACGCGCCCCGCGTAAGTTTAAGCCGCAGGGTCCAAGACTTGAACCGTGGTTGACTACATGGGAGTCCAGTGGCATAGCCATTACGCTAACTGCTGGTCCCTTATTTATGCTTTTCTAGTCTTTGGAGTGGATTCCAGCCTTCTAGAATCAGAGAACTTGCTGTGTCCGTTGCAGCATCATTAAATGTGGAGCTTGCAGCTGTGGGTCACTGAGATTAAGTCTTTTTCTGCCTTAAACCAACAATTCATTACACTCTCTGTTACTCAGCATGGGTGGGGTTCTGGTGCTGGGCACAGTGTCAGAATCTCAGGGAACAGAGAAGCCCCTTTTTCTCCTTCTCTAACACTACTGCTTGTTTATTGTCAATCCATGTTTCTGACCTATATCATTATTCTTTTCTCTGAGGAACTTTTTTTTTTTTTTTTAAAGGTTTTTGCCATAGAGTGTGGTGCTCAGAAGAGACAGAAGGAAAAGTGAAAAAGCACTCCTGAAGGGGATGGCCATGCTGCAATCCTTCTTCCTCCATTCTTCTCTTGGGATTCTGGGCATGCACTATACAAGCCCGGTGCAATTTTCAAGTAACAGGGTCTGAGACTCAAACCATGGTTGGCCATGTGGGAATGCAGCCATCTTCACTACCACAGAACCTGTTGGCCCCTAAAGAAATTCCTTTAACATTTAAGACAAATCCATTGGCAAATTCCTTCGATTTTTATCTAGAAAAGTCTTTATTTCTCTTTCATTTTTGACAGATAATTTCACTGGATATGGAATTCTATGTTGGTGGGTGTTTTCCTTACTTGCTTGCATGGTTTCTGAAGAGAAGTCTGATATTAATATAATTTTCATCCATGTCCCTCTTTATGTAAGATGGTCCCCTCTACTACCACTGTCCCAGTTTCTTTCAAGATTTTCTGTCTTGGTTCTTCTGTAGTTTGAATATATCTATGGGTAGTTTTTGTTTTTGTTTGGCATTTGCCAACCTGTTTTCTGAGCTTCCTAGACCTGTGATTTAGTGTTTATCATTAGTTTGGAAAACTCTAAACCATGAATTCATCGTCTCTCTTTACTTCCTTTCTCTCTCTTCTCCTGGTAGTCTCATTATGTGTACTGTATACTTACGCAATTGTCCCACAGTTTTTGGATATGCTGTTCCATTTCCTTCAGTCTTTTTCCTCTATTACAAGTTTCTGAAGTTTCTATTGACATTTAATTCACTGATTCTTTTCTCAGCAATGTCCCTTACGATGACCCCACCAGAGGTAGTCTTCACTCTGTTTTTATGATTACTATTTCTATTTCTTTTTTATTCTTCAAGTTTCCATCTCTGTGTTTACATTACTCATTTGTTGAATGTAACCTACTTTTTCCATTAGAGCTCTTAGCATATAATCATAGTCGTTTCAAATTCTTGGTTTGATAAATTCTAATACCTGTCATTCCTGAGTCTGATCTTAATGCTTCCTGATTCTTCAGGCTGTGGATTTTGTATGCCTTTTAATATGCCTTGTGCTTTTGTTGTTGTTGTTGTTAAAAGCTGGACAAGATATGCTGGTTAAAATAACCCAGTATTTGGATCTCACAGAGATTTCTGCTCCTAGGCTTCTTACTAAGACTGATTCTCTAATATTTGTCTCTCTAATTTGGAGGGCAGCGGGTTGCCCTGTACCTTAATTTCCTGACAGATGTAAGAAGAGTGGTTGACTTGCAGTTTGTTCAGATTTTTTTCTTACTGTGAGGACAGGAGTGATGACCTGTAAGCTCCCCAAAGGTCCAGCAGGGGTGACATGGGACAGGGTGCTGATGGCTGGATGGAGAATGGTGCATGCAACAGCCTGCCTTGCTACCAGGCTAGTGCCACTTTCTGTCTTTTTTGATTACAGTCATCCTAGTGGGTGTGAAGTGGCATCTCACTATGGTTTTCCCTAATGATTAATATGGTTGGACATCTTGGCATAAACTTTCTGGTCATTTATTTACCTTCTTTGTGGTCTATTCAAATCCTTTTCCTAGTTTTTATTGGGCTCTTTGTCGTTTCATTGTTGAATTGTAAGAGTTCTTTATATACACTAGAGACAAATAATTTATCAGATGCATGATTTACATAGTTTATACACAACAAATATTTACTGCTCATGGTTCAGAGGCTGAGAAGACCAAAATAAAGGCACCAGCACATTCAGATCTAGAAGCCCCATTCCTCACAGATGGTACCTTCTCATTATGTGGCAGGTGTGAGGGTTCTCTTTGGGGCCTCTTTTCTTTTCTTTTCTTTTCTTTTCTTTTCTTTTTTAGAGGTTTTTGCTACAGGGCGCGTGCGCTCGCCAGAAAGACAGAGAGACAGACAGACATGTTCCATTTCCTTCAGTCTTTTTCCTCTATTACAAGTTTCTGAAGTTTCTATTGACATTTAATTCACTGATTCTTTTCTCAGCAATGTCCCTTACGATGACCCCACCAGAGGTAGTCTTCACTCTGTTTTTATGATTACTATTTCTATTTCTTTTTTATTCTTCAAGTTTCCATCTCTGTGTTTACATTACTCATTTGTTGAATGTAACCTACTTTTTCCATTAGAGCTCTTAGCATATAATCATAGTCGTTTCAAATTCTTGGTTTGATAAATTCTAATACCTGTCATTCCTGAGTCTGATCTTAATGCTTCCTGATTCTTCAGGCTGTGGATTTTGTATGCCTTTTAATATGCCTTGTGCTTTTGTTGTTGTTGTTGTTAAAAGCTGGACAAGATATGCTGGTTAAAATAACCCAGTATTTGGATCTCACAGAGATTTCTGCTCCTAGGCTTCTTACTAAGACTGATTCTCTAATATTTGTCTCTCTAATTTGGAGGGCAGCGGGTTGCCCTGTACCTTAATTTCCTGACAGATGTAAGAAGAGTGGTTGACTTGCAGTTTGTTCAGATTTTTTTCTTACTGTGAGGACAGGAGTGATGACCTGTAAGCTCCCCAAAGGTCCAGCAGGGGTGACATGGGACAGGGTGCTGATGGCTGGATGGAGAATGGTGCATGCAACAGCCTGCCTTGCTACCAGGCTAGTGCCACTTTCTGTCTTTTTTGATTACAGTCATCCTAGTGGGTGTGAAGTGGCATCTCACTATGGTTTTCCCTAATGATTAATATGGTTGGACATCTTGGCATAAACTTTCTGGTCATTTATTTACCTTCTTTGTGGTCTATTCAAATCCTTTTCCTAGTTTTTATTGGGCTCTTTGTCGTTTCATTGTTGAATTGTAAGAGTTCTTTATATACACTAGAGACAAATAATTTATCAGATGCATGATTTACATAGTTTATACACAACAAATATTTACTGCTCATGGTTCAGAGGCTGAGAAGACCAAAATAAAGGCACCAGCACATTCAGATCTAGAAGCCCCATTCCTCACAGATGGTACCTTCTCATTATGTGGCAGGTGTGAGGGTTCTCTTTGGGGCCTCTTTTCTTTTCTTTTTGAGAGGTTTTTGCTATAGGGCGTGTGTGCTCGCCAGAAAGAGAGACAGAGAGACAGAAAGCAAAAAATTGCTCCCCCGGGGGGACGGCCACACTGCAATCCCTTCTCCTCCATTCTCCTCTCGGGATCTTGGGCACGCTCACACATGCGCCTGGTGTGAGTTTAAGCCACTAGGTCCGGGACTTGAACTGCAGTCGACTACATGGGAGTCCAGCGACACAGCCATTACACCATCTGCTGGTCCCTGGGGCCTCTTTTAATAAGATCACTAATGCCATTCATGAAGGCGCCACCCCATGACCTAATCACCTCCCAAATGTCTCATCTCCTAATATTACCACCTTGCGGGTGAAGATTTTAACGTATGAATTTTTTTTTTTTTTGAGAGGGTTTTGCTATATATAGGGTGCATGCACTTGCCAGAAAGACAGAGAGATAGAAAGCGAGAAATCACCCCCCAGGGGGGATGGCCACGCCGCAATCCCTTCTCCTCCATTTTCCTCTCAGGATCTTGGGCATGCATGCTCATGCGCCCAGCGTGAGTTTAAGCCACTGGTCTGGGATTTGAACCACGGTCAACTACATGGGAGTCCAGCGACATAGCCATTATGCTAACTGCTGGTCCCAACATATGGATTTTGAAGGGACACAACATACAAATCATAGCACTGCCCACTCCCCCAATCATCCACAATTCAAAACAGAAACAGTGATGACCTTTGACTTACTTGACAGACTTCATAGTCCTGCTCAGTCAATTTTAAATACTCTCATGTTTAAAATTGCCTTTTGATACCAGTAAATTCAATACCTTTTCTCTTAAAAATCAACACTGGAGAGTTTTATTAACAAAAACAAACAAACAATCAAAAAACAGTCTTGTAATTAATTAATGAAATTCATATAATTAAAACTATACATTTCCTTTTCTGCAAATGTCATTTGTTAAATTACTATCATAATCTGTAGACAGAGCTAAGTGGACATACTTTAAAATCTTTCTGATACATATATTGCTGCACTGCATCCGGCTTGAATAATGCTCTTTAAAATGGTATATGCTGGAGCCTGTTAAAAACAACAAGCAAACAAAATAAAATCTCATTATATGTTCATTTTTAGTTATAAGATTCAGAGCTAGTAGGGTAAGGCTCAGACTTCTCTGGATAAAAAATATTTCTTATGATCTGAGAAACAGTTTATTTAAATTTGGAAAGGGGTCAGCATGGCAGTTAAGGCACTGGATCCCACATAGCCAACTCCATGGTTCAAGTCCCAGACCTGGAGGGCTGAAAAACGTGCCAGATGTTTGTATATGTGTGTGGTCACCCAAAATTCTGAGAGAAGACTGGAGGAGAAAAGATTATGGTGGACATCCCTCCCACGGCAGTGATTTCTCACTTTCCCTCGGTCTCTCTCCAGCAACTGTGTGTACCCTATGGCAAAAATCTCTAAAGATAAACAAATAAAATTTGGGAATAAAAGCTACTCAAAAGATGGAATGCCTCTGTTGCTGTCAAAACATTGGAATCATCTGGCTTTTCATAAGAAAGGGAAAAGAAGCCCCTGGGGAAAAGGATAAGGGAGGAAGCAAGAAATAAAATTCCTAATCTGGAGTAACGCGTTGGCTTGCTTCCTTTGTGTAAAAGCAACATGACTGATTTTTTTTGTTTTTCTTTAGGCTTATGCCTTAAAGTTTATTTTTCTGGAAATAGAATCCTTCTGCCCTCTCAACCTTCCAAGTAAGGAGCCCCAAAACATCAAGTAACAGTAGGTCCTTACCAATTCTGCGTCGTGGTCGAGGCCTATGTCATGGTGCTCAAGCTCATCATCCCGGAATTTCTTTATCACCTGGATAAACAGAAGGAAATCAAAGCAAGGTGGTCTTCCAGCTCTCTCACTGCTCTTACTTTGACTACAGCCTCATGTCAGAGTCCAAGACAGTCACAGGGAAACCTTTCCTAAAAAGGGCCCGAAAGCAAATACTCTAGGCTGTGCAGGCTGTACGGTTTCTGCCAGAACTACTCAACCCTGCCAGACAGCGGGACAAACAGCTGTGGGTGTGCAAATGAAGTGCGTCTCCACGAAACCTTATTTGCAGAAATGGGTGGCTGAACACAGGCTATAGTTTGCCAGTCTCTGATTTAGGCTTTGAAAAATTAAACAGTACCCTTATTTACCATAGAATTAATAGGTATCTGAGGATATCTTTTTCTTTTTAAAGAGAAAGGGAGTCACAGGCACCCCCCACAGGGTCTCCATGCCATGCTCCACCCCGAGTCTCAGCCAGCCTGGATCATAAGCACTTGCACATCTGCAGCTCTGGTCTGTACAGGGGGCCCCAGAATACACAGCCAAGACCTGCCCACATGGGCCCAGCACAGCAGAGCACGGTGTCACTGCTGCACTGCCATCTGGCCCACAAGGATCTCTATTAGCTCATTTATTTAATCCGAAGGCCTCGTGCTCATGGCATTAGCTCAGAATCTACCAATGACATAGAAGTGGGCAGAACCGGGCACAAGAAACATGGGTTTTCTAGTTCCAGTTCTACCAAAGCTGTGTGACCTGGGCCAATGGCTTTGCCACTCCATTCCTCAGTTGACTCACCTTTAAAATGAGGTGCTGCCCCAGATATCTGTAAGCCCCAGCATTCTCTAAGATTCTCTCTCTTTTTAAATTCTTTTCTAAGTACATATCTGCCTTTTCCCCCAAAGCAACCCCAGCTCTAGAGGACAGCCAAATACCTGGAGAAGCTCCTCATATTTCTCAGGGTCTTCCTCCATCAGCCTCCTGATCTGGTTGTTGTAGTGGGTAGCTATAGACTCTTCTACCGCCACAGTGCAGGCCATGGCACCTTCTTTCCCCAGCAAGGCAGTCCCCGCTCCTGGAGTTGGGAAACCCAGAGCAGTAAAGCATAGGTGGGTACCACTGGTGACAAAGACCATTTCCTGCCAGAGTTTCTCCATCTCGGCACCAATGAGTTTGGAGCCGGACTGCTCTTTGTGGCGGGGGGGGCCCGCGGCACGTCGGGT